GGTAACTTTAACGATAATAATAAAAATAATGATAATAATGGTAACTTTAATAATAATCATAAGAATAATTATAGTAATAAAATAACACGATTAGGTATATGATATTGATAATAATAACAGCAACGGTATCATAAAATTAAGAAAACAATAAATGATAATTAAAAACAATGCTGATAACAATATTGATGATATCAATGAAAAAAGTAGGGTTAATGATAATGATGATATCAATAATATCAATAATGATAACCATAATATCAAGAATATCATAATGATAATCAAGATAACAATAACAATAACAATAGAAGTAATGATAAAAAGTAAAAACTAATAATGGTGATGATTATAACAAGGATGATAATAATAGCATTAACAAATAAAATGAAAATGATAAGAATAATGATAATGAAAATGAAAAATAGAAATGAAAATTAAATAACAAAAATGCTGATAATAATCATAACATATATATCATATTTATATGTATATATACACAAATATTATAGTATGCACACACACACACACATATGTATATACACATAAAAAGGTCAAGAGCTAACGTCAAGAGAATTCTACACCACTTCTTTGTGCGGCGCATTTGCTATTTCAGTTTTCAAATCGGGTGTTTTACATGATTAATTAAGCCTTTCCTTCGATTAAAATTATCACACACCATTTCTCTCTCTCTCTCTCTCTCTCTCTCTGTTACTATGTTTTCCTTTTTTTAATGAATGAAATGCCTCCGATGATTCTACGTCAACCACATGGCCGTTCCATTGCGTCGATTCATGATTATCTGTCCAACATACTATATACTATGGCAAAATGTGGCTCCCTGGGATAAATGAGGTTGACAGCCCTTCTCTAGACCTTACCCTGATCACTTCACATGCGAGAATCATTTTTGATTCTTACACCATCCATACCATAACACGTCAGCAAACAGTTATTTTTTTCCGTTTTTTCTTCTTCTTCTTTTTCGTCTTCTTCTTCTTCTTCTTCAAAGAGTAATTACTGTTCCTGACATGTGATAGCCCATCATAATACCTTGACGTTTTACAAATTATCTAAAATAAATAATGAAGTTTTTTTTCTTGGCTCGTCCACCTTGTACATTACTCAGCGACAAAGGCAGCATTCCTCATAAGATAGATATTTGCCACATGATCAATAAGAGGAGAATCACACACTCGCATATGTGTGTGCGTGAGTATATATACATAAATATATACATATATACATAAATATATATATATATATATATATATACATACATACATACATACATACATATATATATATATATATATATATATATATATATATATATATATATATGAATTAATACATATGAAAATATAGGTATATGTTCATACTCATTTGTACATTTGTGTGCATATATATATACATATATAAACATATTATAAACATCTAATCAAATATATATCTATATATATAAATATATATTTCTGTATATATGTAATTATACATGAAAATATCTATCTACCTACCTATCATTCTATCTATCTCTATATATAATACACACACATATACACAAACATATATATAAATACATATGTATATATATGTATATATACATATATGAATATGTTTGCATAAATAAATGAATATATATATATCTGTATATTTACACACACACAGAATATATATAAAAATGAATATATATATATATATATGCATATTTACACACACATATATATAAAATGAATATATATATATATATATAATATATATATATATATATATATATATATATATATATATATGCATATTTACGCACACACATATATATAATGTAAAAATGAATATACACACATTCCCATTTATTCCTATAAGTTAAGGTGTACGTGCATAAACCTTGCGAGCGATATTTCAAAACCATGTAAAAAAAAAAAAAGAATAAAATTATTAAGAAAACCACGCCCACGCGATCGCTATTTTTAGATTTCTATTGAAAAGCACATGAGGTGTTATAAAAGTCGCACTGTCTCCCTCTCCCATTCATTCTTCCGAAGTTGGATCGCCAGCATGAAGTAAGTTTCAAGAGATCCTAGAATTAAAGTTTGCGATTCAAAACTTGGGTGAATTTAGTATATCAGTGTTAAAGTAAACCTCAAACCCACGTGTGAAAACTAAGTGATTTATGTCGATCAGAGTAAGATTTCTGTCTCTAGTATTCAGGTGATTTATATGAGATAGACATGAATTTGCGGGAAGTTATTTTTATATGATTAAAGTTTGGATGCAATAGTGATGTAGATTTAGACAAATAGCGTTTAAATGGCACTCAAAGATACTTGGTCCAGAAAGCGGGGAGTCCTGAGTCCAGTTATGTGACTGATTTTACATATATATATATATATATATATATATATATGTGTGTGTGTGTGTGTGTGTGTGTGTGTGTGTGTGTGTGTGTGTGTGTGTGTGTGTGTCTGCGTTGTTTGCTTGGTTGTGTGTGTATACGTAAATGCACACGCACAAAACAGTTGTACATACATATATATGGATACTGCACATGTATATTCACATGTGCATGTATAATACTGTACATGTGTGCATTTTATCCTCCAAATAACGTAAGAGTAATTTTGCTTCAAGTGATTTCTTTTCACTGATCTATATTCGTCATTACATTCAAGTCATTAGGCTGTTAATCAGTATCATATACTTTATGAGACTTAATACATCATAACAACAGTACGAGTCACAGGTATAAGCATAATTGAACAGTGATTATTATATATATATACATATATATATATATATATATATATATATATTATATATATATATATTTATTTAATTATAATATATATATATATATATATATTTGTGTGTATACATGTATACAAATGTATATATATACATATATATGTGAGTGTGTTCATGTGTGTAGTATGTACATATATATGTATATGTTTTTTTATATCATATTCATTGGTATATCATAACATCATGAGTTATTACTTGTTATTCTACACTACTATTATCGACCATCTGGTAATATGACTATTTTTTATTGCTCCATGACAATCATCATTATCATCACTATGACATCATTACCGCTAAAATAACCAGCTATGTTATTGCATCACAGAACTGTCATTGCAACAACTGTTCTCGTGGTTGTGATGGGGGCAACTTACGGCTTCTCTGCCCCAGGGAGGCATGGCTCTGCCCTCCGAGCTGCTAGGGAGGCAAAGGAACAGCCCCTTGCTCGAATTAAGAGGTAAGGAAAGAGGGAGGATGGAAGTCAGAGAAGGGTGATGAGGGAGGGAAGAAGGGACGGGGGGAGAAAGGGATAAAAGTTTGATGGATAGCTACATAGAGGGAGGCACATGGAAAGAGAGAGATAGTAAGAGAAAAAGAGAGAATAAGTATATGGCATTAAAGCTCTTGAAAGTTTCCAATATATGTTTCTTTCTTTTTCGTCTAATAGGGATATGCATGAACATAATGAAACCATTGGCACGAAGAGGAGCATCATGATTATGATGACAGCCATTGATGACGATCATGATGACAGCGATGATCACGGTCTTGGCCACAACGGGAACCATCACGACAGTGATGAGCATCACCCTTGATGAGCCTCCCACGATGATCATGATTGATCACGAAGGGGAGCACCACGGTCTTCCACAACGGAACCCATATCCATAACGCTACATCACGACAGTGATGAGCATCACGGAGCACATGATGATATGAGCACGACAGCCATGATGATCACGAAGGGAGCACCACGGTCTTGGCCACAACGGAACCCATATCTTTAACGCTACGAACATCACGACAGTGATGAGCATCACGAGAGGGGATCACTATGATGACAGCCATACACACGCAGCACGATGATGACGACGAGGGGCACCATGGTGATCAGGACTATGATGACAGCCAGCCAATATGCACCACGGTCTTGGCCACAACGGAACCCATATCCATAACGCTACGAAAGATCACGACAGTGATGAGCATCACGAGGGGCACATGATCAGGACTATGATGACAGCCATGAGCACGATGATGACGACGAGGGGCCATGGTGATCAGGACTATGATGACAGCCATGAGGACGAAGGGGAGCACCACGGTTTGGCCACAACGGAACCCATATCCACGCTACGGGCAGTGATGAGCATGTCATTGATACTATTTCGATATGATGACACATTATGCAATGCTGCTAACAGATAAATGATATTATATGGATGACAATGGTGAAAATAATGATAGCATCAAATTGTCATATTATAAAGAATAAGAAAAAAGGTATTGGCAAGATAATCTTATGAAATAAATGTATAACGATGAGAAAATGATAAGTAAAATGAATTCAGGATTAACTAATACCAAAATATGTCTACTTCTCATTTTATTTATTTCACTGTATAAGTAACGTATAAACGGATATTCAAAATCAGTGCTGTATTGTAAAAGAGAGATGAATAAAGTTGATGAATGCACATCCAGTTTTCGTTAAGTTTAGTCCTCAATTTTTCTATTCTGGCTAGCCCAGTGACATGCTTATATCCTCTAATGTTTCAGTTAAGAGGAAGCAAACAATAGTCCTTCATTTATTCCTCGACTAACTCAAACAGTAGACTGATGTCTTATATCTGTGAATTCCTCCGTAGGGAAGGCTTAGTGAGACATCCTAGCTTGGTGTATTCCAAGCTGCATGCCCACATTGAGCTCATTTGCTGGCCTTAATACAAGAACAACATGCTCACACTCAGAGACTCCAATATGCCAATTCAGTTTGCATATTGCTTGTCCACACACACACACACACACACACACACACACACACACACACACACACACACACACACACACACACATATATATATATATATATATATAATATATGTGTGTGTGTGTGTGTGTGTGTGTGTGTGTGTGTGTGTGTGTGTGTGTATGTATGTATAAATATATACATATATATACATGTATATATGATATAATGTAAAAATGAAGATATACATTCTCATATATTCACATACATTATTATGTACGTGCATAAATCATTTATTCATCGTATAAGTACCATATAAACAATGATGCAAAACAAGCGTCATAATCCTTACTGTGCTCGGCCTCTATGCAATACAACTGCTGTATTGTAAAAGGATGAATAAAGTTGATGAATGCACATTCAGTTTTCGTTAAGTTTAGTAATGTATTTTATCATTCTGGCTAGCTCAGTAACATGATTATACCCTCTAATGCTTCAATTGAGAGGAAGAAAACATTTAGTCCTTAGTGTGTGCGTGTGCTATATATATATATATATATATATATATATATATATATATATATATAATATTATATATATATATATGTTATGTATGTATGTATGTATATGTATGTTATATACATGTATCCACACACACATACATATATACATATAGATGAATAAATATATATGGATGTAGATAATTGTATATAGATAGATAATGACATGTGTGTGTGTGTGTGTGTATATGTTCATACATGTCCATTCATGTGTGTGTGTCTGCGTACATATATATATATATATATATATATATATATATATATATATATATATATATGTGTGTGTGTGTGTGTGTGTGTGTGTGTGTGTGTGTGTGTGTGTGTGTGTGTGTGTGTGTGTGTGTGTGTGTGTATGTTCATATATATATTTGTGTGTGTGTGTGTTTGTTTGTGCATATAGATATATGTATATTATACATATATATATATATATATATATATATAATATATATATATATATATACATATATATATATACACATATATATGGATATAAATTTATATATACACATATATATTTTATATATAAACTAACACATAAAACACATACACGCACGCACACACACACATACACACACACGCATATATATATATATATATATATATATATATATATATATATATATATATATATATATATATATATATATATATATATATATGTATATACCCCTTACATATATATTCCAGCTAAGCTCATACACTCATGTTTTCTATCACACACGCACATCAAATTATCAATTTATGTGGGTGTGTGCTAGTATAAAGCATCAAGTTTTATTGCGAAATGGGTACTGAGAAAAATAGAGATCGCGTAAGTGCTAAAAAAAAAAAAAAAAAAAAAAAAAAACTCCACACCTACACATGCCTTATGCAGCAGTTGTGTTCTTATTTCACCTTCACACTCATTCCTGTGCGGCGCTACAGCAACATGAGGTAAGTATTACAAGACTAGAATTCAGTTTAATATCTTTTAGGATGTCCGTCAGGAGTGTTAAGTACAGCGCAAGGACAAGTTTAATTGAATGTGATGTTATTGTTGTTAACTATTGTTGGGATATATTTCTGATGTAGATAGAATGATCAGATGAGCAGATTGCTTTCACACTCACTGTATGATACTGCCCTGATAACGTTGGCGTGTGTGTGTGTTTACATATATATATATATATATATATATATATATATATATGTGTGTGTGTGGTCTATATATATATATATATATATATATATATATATAATATAGAGAGAGAGAGAGAGAGAGAGAGAGAGAGAGAGAGAGAGAGAGAAGAGAGAGAGAGAGAGAGATGTGTGTGTGTGTGATTATGTGTGTGTGTGTGACTATGTGTGTGTGATATACAATTATAAATTTCACATTTGAATCTTTCCCAAGTGCCATTCTAATTCGAAGTCATAATAATTTATTTTCATGTTACTGTCACTAGAATGCTGATAATCATAAGAAGAATCCTAGTCGAAATTAAAACGGTAAAGGCAATCAAGAAAGTAATTAAAGTGGTATACACAATAGTGCTTTAGTTTCAATCATAATCGTAATAGTAGACTGGTAATAATTATAACTAAACTAAAAAGTGATTTATTATCCTCTATTGAGTTTTCTACCACCCACACTTCTGTTCATTATCATAATCATTATCATAATCATTATCATAATCATTATCATAATCATTATCATTATCAATGGTATTAATAATATGATGAAATATAATCATCCTTGTCTCTACGATTATCATTGTCATCAGTACAACCATCACTGTCACCAATATAATGAGATTCATCTTATATACAGATTGTTATGCAACTGTTGTTCTCGGGGTTGTGATGGGAGTGACCTGCGCCTTCTCCTTGAAAGGGAAGCCTTGGTCTGTGGCTCAAGCTGGTATCGAGGAAGAGAAATGGAGGTAAGGGAAAGGAGGGGGAAAGAGGGAGAGTGGGAGAGTAAGGGAGGGATGATGAGAGAAGGAGGGGTGTGGGTGACAAAGAGAAAGATAGCGATTAAAAAAGAAGTTGTAGTGAGTGAGAGAGAGAAAGAAAGAAGGCGGTATGGAGAGAGAGAGAGACACTTATTGCGCTGAATCTCTTCAATGAACCTGAAAGAGTAACAAAATTCCTGATCCCGACAGATGGAGTGATGAAGATGACAGCGGAGAAATCAGTGAGGAATCCCATGAACATGACAGCGAGGAGACCCATGAAAACAAGAGTCATGAATTCCACGGTCATGACAACCGGAA